TTTTTTTTTTTTTTTTTTTTTTTTTTTTTTTTTTTTTTTTTCCGTGATGCACTACCGGTTTTCCGAGGCTCGGCGATAAAGTCCGAGGCTCGGGAATGATCGGGATACCGGTAGTCCGAGCCCTGCTAAAAAAGTACAGACGTAAATCAGTGTTAAATCACTGCTAAATGGGAAAAGATTAAGGAAAAGGTAAAATTCATACAATTCAACAACGCTTACAACAATTCAGGGGGTCTTGGCTAGGGGGGCCCCAAGGGGGAAAGATTGGGAAAATTCAATGGAGTGGGGCCCAGGAAGAGCAACCGGATGGGGAACAAGATGCGCTTCCAAGAGATTATCATCTACATTTTTATGATTGGTCAAACCTGGACCCAGCCATACCTTTTCGCCCTTTGTCTAAATTCCCAGACCCCTTTCCGCCTTCTACATTGAGTCTTGTTCCCTGCAGCTGGTATGGTCTAGACTAGAAGTATAGTGTTCTTACCAATCACTTGTTGCCTATAGGAAGCTGCTAGCAAATTGTTGGCAAATCTGGCTTCCTAGAAGCAGGTGAAGAGGTAGCTAAAAAAGGCATACAGCCCACAGGCTGACAAAGAAACAGTCCCAATTCCTTACAATTCCCAACATTATTGTATTCAAAGGGATGCGGGACCCGCTTTCCAGCAGGTGTAGCTCCCCACAAATAGACCGGAGCAACCCATACTAGGGGGGGTTTCTTGTATCATCTCCCCTATCAGTAAAATGGTTCTGGTAAAAAAAAAAAAAAAAAAAAAAAAAACCATGGCCATTTAGAATGGCCCCTATCAGGAACCACCTGGACACCTTCCAGTCCAGGTGTGGAAGCATCCACCTGCCCATGTACATACTACACTCTGCGCCCGCACAATCATTATAGCTCTATTTGCTGCAAGTGTCAGTCTAGATACAGGGATAAGCATTTATGACTGTGTTACATTTTGGGGATGACTGTAGCAGCCCTGTCTCTTATACACATCTAGATGTGTATAAGAGACAGGTTCTCGGTATGCTTACGAGGACTATGTTTTCCACTTGGTCCCACCGCTGGACCAACCGCTCCACGTGCAACAATCTACCGCATGCACGGTTTCA